TTTTATTGTTTGGCTTCAAACTTTTGGAGAAGGCTTTTAAGAGTTCCTTGTTTAATCAGAAAACCTGCTGTTGGATGTATCTGCTGCAGAGAGTGCAGTTAGAGCGCTGCATGAGTGGGAAGCCAGTGAGGGATCATCAGCTTATCATTGCACTGCACACTTTTGCGTGCCTGGGTGTAGGTGTTGGTTGTTGTTCATGGCTCATATGCGCCAAACCTCCGACATAACTGTCACTGTCACCTTTTCTAACCATAATCCAACCGTTTGCATCCATAATGACTCCTAATGTGGTCAATTTTAGGACTTAATGAGGAGCCATTACTCAGTGTCCATTTATCTCTTTCTGAATCCTCACATCTTTATCAGCCCAACTGCACCTGTTGTTTTCAGCATGCAGCGGACTCCTGGTGCTATCTGCAATGCCACAAAGCAGAACAAAATGAGTACGCCGCAAAGCAAAACTAACACCTTTAGGAGTTTGGTCGTCACACAATTTCCGTTATCTTCTAGCAGCTGCACAGCAAAACCATAGTGAAAATCTCTGACTGACTCCTTAAGTTCTTTTTGTTTTTGATCTCGACTCCCCTCTGTTTATCATTATTGTCAGCATTATGAACTTTGTCTCCCTATCGTACTTCCCTCACTTTGGTTTCTAATGTAGTTTTTAGTGAAGCAGATGGACACATAGTGAGACTTTATAAATGGTTTCACAGTACCGAAACACAAAAAGGAAATTACACCGATGAGGAAGTAGAAATAAAGCTGAGCAGGGCTTAAAAGATTTTTTTTGTTGTTGTTGCTATGTGGCAAAAAGAAATCTCTGGTTATCCAAAGTGCACATTTTTAGTAATTTAATGTGCTCATGCTCTGTTTAAAAGTAATTAAATGTATTTACTCTTGGTTTTAGAATGAAGGTGCACATGGATCCTGGCTCATAGGAGAAGTGAAGCACAGATGAAACACTTCAGTCATGTTTCGTGCTCAGCAGAGAGTGAAACACACGGTGTGGAATTGCCCAACAGTTTCACCGTGCTGTGAGAAAGTCGGTTTAGTCACGTCTCTCCACAAACTGCTAGGAAAGCTCTGCGGTGCATTGTTACCTGTCAACACTGAGTCAGATATTACTCTGCCGGTGATAACTGTATCTTAGAGCTCCAACTGTACAACATTTGAAGGTTGTATTCAATACATTTGCACATTTTTATACACTACTTATATGCTGTGCATGCAAGTTATTTTTTACACTCTTAAACAGGATATATTACTTCATTTTAAACCAATATAACAAAATATTTTATGTCAATTTGCAGAAATGTGTAAAACAACACAACTGAATTTTAAATGTTTACTGAAAACAGTTTTTTTTTTTTTTTTTAGAGGTAACATGTTAAGTTTTGTGAGTAATCAAAAGGTGACAGTGTTTTCTGGTCAAAAGGTAACTGTATGCAAAAAAGGTGTCGGTAAAGTAGATTAGTTTCACAACAGACATTTTGACATGTCATAGCAGGAAAACATAGGTGAGCCCAGTATGAATAATCATGTCTCAGTTCAGTCAGTAAAACTGGGAAACGAACCCGATCTCGACTGGAACACCTAAATAACATGTTTTTGTTACTGTATTGTAATTTAGGTAGCTAAACCTGTGGATTTCTATTTATGACATATATGTAAAAGAGTCATGATAGCACAAGTACTGACATTATACACACTTTAGTCCGTAAATGTCTGATATTTCAAGAGAAATTCAATTCAGTTCAAATTCAGTTCAACTCAATTCAATTCAAAAGCTTATTGAGTATTTAATATAAAGACATAAAAACAAACAAACCGCTTCATAAATATCAAATAAAGTAAAGGAAGGCTTTGGAACAACCTGGTTTTCTGCATTAGTTGGCCAAAGAAATCTGAGGCAACATCCAAACTAATATGTTCTCATTTTAAAATGGCATGGATGATCTCTGTGTACCATATACAAAAGATAATGACCATCAGGGTGTTTAAAAACAAAGGTCCAGTTGTATAGAAGTCAATGAGAAAATGGTTCTACTTATAGTGTGGATGCTAGTCATGAACATGGCAGAAAAACACATTTGAAAGTGATCTTGTCGACATGCTGAAGCATCCTTGGCAAGTTGCTCTCATTGGCAGGTCGCCATCTTATGTGGCAGTTCTGCTGCCATTAGTGTGTGGTTTTGTAAATGGCTAAATCAGATGGGGATATTGTAGAAAAAAGTCTTTGTAACCCACTAAGGTAAAGACACGTAACATGAGCACAGACATCTTTGTTTTAATTCTTTCTGTCGTAGGCTTACCTTCAGGGCCGCAAATAAACTCCAAGTAATGATGCTGCCTCCACCGTGCTTCACCTTTGGGGATGTTTTTGTGTTAGTGTGCAGCACCCTTCTCACATCCAACGTAGTTCTTCCTAAACAATTTGAACAAATTTCAAGTTTTATTGTGTTATGTCAAGGCTCTCTTTGAAACACTTTAGGTGTACAAATGTTTTTTTGCTTGCTTTGTTTTGTTAAGTGGCCTCACCCTGCTATGAATCGCCTAACTGTTACTCCGAGTTTTACCTCATTGAGCATTCTGCACAGCGATGTAACCATTTTATATTTTCAAGGTTATCGAGGTCCGTCTGCATGAATAATGTATCTTTATAAAAGGACAATTACATCTGCTATTTATTATTCAAAACATCCCAGCTTCTGTACATGGGTTGTGATTGCATGATACAAGCACTACAGTGGTCTGTCCTCAGTATGTGTGGGTGTTTTGGGTGGGGGGATCCTCGTCATGCACAAGGGGGGAAGTCCCAGATCAGGCGTTGAGTTCATAACCAAATGAGCTGCAATGCTGAAATACAGGCCGCTCTCTCTTTCTCTCATATCTACAAATCAAGGATTCTCCCACTGCTTCTTTGCCATCTTGCCAGGTAAGTGATCTCTCCAGACATCATTTTCAGTGCAAGGTATGACAACACCACTGATGCAAATGTCATGTGTTCAGTATTCGCCGTGCAGGTGGGAATCAAACCCACTTAAGCCTGGATCACTGTACGCAGTTTCTAATGAGAATGAATCAACCCAAAAGCTGAGGGTTCGCGGTGAGGGCTTTGATTAACGGAAACACTGTTACTTTGCGTCTTTCTCCAGGTGCATTTAAACGCACACAAATCAGAGACTGAGAAATGTTGAAAAGGGCAAACAGATAAACGATAAAACAAACAAGAATAAAACTCACAGATATGGCTAAAGTTGTGATTTTAGTTTGTATGGAAATAGTCACTTCTGTCTGGATATTGGTGACCTGCAACAGCGTATGTGTTTATAATAATTACAGACTGAACTTACACTACATTAAATCTGAAGGGGAGCATGCGGAGGACAGTTGGTGCTGTTTACTGGGGTGTGACCCATATACTCAAGAAGAAATCAGGCTTACAACCCTGAATGTGAAAGCACTGGGGGGGAAGGAGGTTGAGATGTGTGTGTGTCTTTCACACTCCGCTGCCTCAGTGCTTGCTGAAGCAGAGAAAACTATATTTTAGGGAAAAAAAGACATGATTTCTAAAAGTATGGATACATAGAAGTTGCAGGGAGGCTGGAATGCTGCTGACAGCCCATTGTCTTTTATTTACTTGGGTTTGTACATGTTTTGCAAGGTTTGCTCTCAAAAATGCTTTTAAAACTCCAACAGAAATAAGTCTGCACCGCTGATACGGTGTTAACTGGTTTAGGTGCAGACCTCGCAGTCTACAGCTGTCATGCATTAGAATGTTTTTTTCTTTTTTGACCTTTTAAAAACAGTTTCACACGGAGGCTGCAAAGTCAAAACAGTTACCACACACGATTCCTCGCCCACCTAGGGGGAAAATATATATATTTTTTAAATTCCAAATAATATGTGGATAAGTTATTGTAAAAAGTACACATATAAAGATGAAGGAACATTTATTTCCAAGTCACCAGTCAGACTAACTTATAACACTTGTGTCAAATATCACTCTGGTTCACTTTTGATTGGCCTAAAAATCTGTTAAATATTGTTCTATTGACTATTATAGCTCTTAGTATAAAATAGCATAGCGTAATATAGTATACTATAGCATTCTAAAATATCACAATATAGTACAGCACAGTGCCATATAGTATACTATATCACTGAAATATATATAGTATAGTATAGTATA